AATATAACTTGAAAATACTGAATACATGGTGAATTTTCTAGATTGTGGTACATTTTTAGATTATTTTTATGTATGACATTTATTTAGATGCTAAAAACATAACTTGAAAAATTTTTAGATTAATTTTACATTTAAGATAAAATTTATATTTTATGCATGCATTTCTTTAGACGCTAAAAATATGTCTTACAAAAATGCCTGACGAATTTTTGAATGACTCTAAATTTTAAGATTATATTTTATGCATGGATGTATGCAGTTCGCTTTGATGTTAAAAAATATACCTTATAAAAATTAAATGCATAGTGAGATTTTAGTTTACTTTAAATTGCTAGATTAATTTTATATATGTAATTCGTTAAAACATTCACTTGTAAAAATTTTTATGTTTAGGTTACATTAACTTGTTTAGATTATTTTTATATGCAATTCGTTTTGATGTTAAAGTGAAATGCACAATGAATTTTCAGATGATTAGGCATGTGATTAGTTTGATGCTTAATGCACAAGTAATTTTTAGATGATTAACTTTAGGCATTTCGATGTTAAAAATATATCTAAAAAGGTTTGATTTTGGAATTTAAGAGAATTTTTTTGTCTTTCTGTGTTTCAGGTGGTCTAAAGGAAGAGAGAGGTCTCAGCGGATCAATTTATGACTCCACGATGGACATTACGATGTGATTAAATCCCTGAAAGGATTTTTCGGCAGCAAATACTATTGCAATACTTGTGAAAAGCCCTATGAACACCCGGAAGAAAATCGATGTGCCAATGCCTGTCCCATATGCCTAAGGACTGATTGCTTTCCAGGCGTGCCCTAACGATGTCAGGATTGTGACCGTCTCTGCCGCTCCGATGCCTGTTATACAGCACACAAAGCCCTGACTGGAAATCAAGAGTTTTCACTGTGCGATAGAGTAAGTGCTTTTGAAAATATATCTTAACAAAGTTATTTATCATGTACTTTTTTTGAAATTGTTGTGTATAAATAATAATTGTCGTTACAGGTATACCAGTGCAGAGACTGCTGACAAGTGATCCGGAGGCGCGATTGCCTTATAGAGCTTAACAAGTGCGGAACCACCAAATGTCCGTCTTGCGGCCAGTTTGTCGTGGCTGCTGAGCACCGTTGTTATTTGCGACGTGTTGCTCCGAAGAAGCCCGAGGATAAGCTTATCTTCTTTGACTTTGAAACGGACCAGTCTTCGGGGGAACACCTCGTAAATTTCGCGGTGGCTCAGTATGCCGACGGCACAGAAAATGTGTTTCCGGGATACACGGCATGTCAAGATTTCTGTGCCTGGCTGTTTACAGCACAGCACAAGGGCTTCACTGCCGTGGCTCATAACATGAAAGGGTAAGTTAAAAACACCATAGTTTGCATGATTTAGTTTTCATGACTATTTTTTCAATATTATTCATATTTTTTTTATTTACTTACAGGTTTGATGGGCAGTTCGTGATAGCCAGTCTCCTGGAGCAAGGTACAGCGCCAGAAGTGATCCCTAACGGGTCTATGATTATGTGTTTAAGACATGCTAGTCTGAACATTCGGGTCATAGACTCGTTAAATTTTCTACCGAATGGCGTTGGCCAAACTGCCGGGATGCTTCGGTCTCACCGAGTTGAAAAAAAAGGGTTACTTCCCCCTCTCTTTAACTCTCGACTAAAAGAAAGACTATAACTATATTTAAATAGGCTTGTACAAAAAAGTTTGCATGTAAAATATACATCACTATCTGTAAATGAACGTAAAAAAATAGAGGTTTGAATGATAAAATAATGGTGTTTTTTCTTTTTTCCTTTGGAAAAGATGCCATAAAGGTAGTTTTAAATATTTTTTTAGAAAAATAATGGTTATGATTATGTATATATTAGTTTAATCAGAAAAAATGATTTTATATATTAACTTCATCAAAGAAAAACATAACACAAATAATCAGAAATTAACTTTTATTATGAACATTTCATTACAATTTCAGCCATAGTTTCTAAGAGAATTTTCTTTTAGGTCTAGCATACATCGTTTTTACATTCATTAAATGTTTGTTTTTCACAGTCTTGAGGAAAGTTATTCACATTCAGTACATTTTTAAACTGTTCAAAGGCAGTAGGTCTTTCAGTTCTATTTCTCAACAGAAAGTTTATCAGTTAAACAATGTTAGACCCAGAAAACACATGACCGTCCAGAATCAGTTCTTTATTGTGTGTCCAGGAAATCTGTTCTTTTTAGAAATCCATTATTTTCTGTGCACAGGAACAGTCTTGCAAAAGTCCTTTTTCTATCTGTCTCAGAAAATTGTTCAGACGGTTGTTTTTCAGACGCATTCACATGAGGAAACGTAGCATACTTTTGCAGACCTGGATGTACAATTTGGATTTTTCTTCATCGTCCATTTTTTTTTTAAGATGTTTTTGAATTTGGGTATCTAAATCACTCAAATGTTCATCTTCAAACTGGTGCATACGATCCAGAGGTACCAAGGCAAATTTCTTACTGTGTTCCATGGAGAAGAGAGGATAAGACACTGACTGCTGCAGGAATCAGGAAAGATAAAAACCGTCACTTTTTTGAACCAAAAGACGTCTTTTCTTAAAAAGAGGTACTTTTTTGTCCGCTAGTTTTCTTAAAGTTCTTTTAAAAGGGGCGAGTCGATTTTTGACGCGTTTGGTGATGGGTACGTTTCCTTTTAGAAGATTTAAAACACACTCACAAACTGATTTGATGAGATGATTCGGACACTTTTTCAGTACAGCTGCTTTTATTCGACTTTTTCCTAATAGTTTTAGATAATCCACGTCCTTCAGATGAGACATTCTGATTACAAATGAGCTCTTTTTCTTGCACACTTTCTTTTATATGGGTAGCAAATGCAGCCTCTTTGGTTTAAAGCGCAGCAATTAAATCCTTTTGCATGAATCGAAATGTTAAAGACTTTTTCTTTTTTAAATTCTCTATCTTAGGACAGTCTATATTATGATGTCTCTACATAATAAATTTTCTAAAAATAATTTCTTTTCTAATCCTTTCACGTATATGACAGAATAAATAGATGACAAATATTGCAAAATAATACGAAGATGAGTATACGGTAAAACACCCTCACTCCAATTCACATGATGACGATTTCTTGTGACCCAAGCAAAATACTTTTGCTGAGATCGTTATAATGTTTTCCAAGGCTGAGTGAGGGGGTAAAAATGACCAGCAACTGTGATCCTTCATGCACGGAGTAAAAAGCTAATTATTTAACAATGTAACAATGAGGCATCCACTGAAAACCTTCGAAATCGATCACGATGGGAGAAGACATGTTAGCCATTCGACGTCTCAAACTGAAATGAACTATCGGGAACTGAATGAACTATACTTTATTTTAACTAAACTTTATTAAAACTTTATTTAAACTATACTTTATTTAAACTGAAATGAACTATACTTTATTTTTTAAAAATCATGTTTACACCATATCTTTTTTTGACATAGTATTTATCACCAGGAAAGATGCCTGTGCGAAGGCGAAGCGTTTCACTTGTTTCAGGTCGTAAATCAATCAACAAGTAGCTAAATGGAGTTGAAGTAGCATCCTGAAAAATTTCTTGAAAGGCCTTTACTTTTCCGGGGAACATTTGTCTAGCTAAATGCATGATTTGACTTTTATCTCTAGGATTTTTGTATAAGACAAGATAATGGGAATTTAAATGAATATTTCTCATCTCCTTGCCTTGGTGAAAAAGATTTTGTGTTATAAAAACGACTGAAAGGTTTCGGTGATGACTTCCTTTTGTAAAAAGTTTGCTTAAGCGAGTATCACTTGCTAATTCAGACATTAAATCGTCTATGATAATTAAAGCATTTTGGAGAGTCTGCAGGTTAGATGGTAATCCTTCTTCAAAATTTACATTTTTCATGGAATTAAAAAGAGGTTGATAACTTCCGTAGCAATAAATAATATTGGTCGGCATGGGATGGAACATTTTATGATCTATCAATTTCTTCACAAAAAACCGTTTTACCCGAACCGGTAGGTCCTCTCAGAAGACAAGTAGAAGGATGTACGAACTTGGCAGTTCCATTTTTGGAAATGACAGCATGTTAAGAAAACACTGACACTTTTATACTTTACCGAAAATCCTTTTGCATAAGACATTTATTCATTTTGTTTAAATAAGTGTAGAAACAAGAAACACAAGAGACATTTTTACAAATTAAAACAACTTTTTTTTTTTTAAAAATCATGTTTACACCATATCTTTTTTTGACAAATTGAAAATTTGGAAATCAGATTCTTCCCATCTAAGGGTGATACAATGAGTTCCATACAGAGTCCTTAACAGCGTGTAATAATAAAATAAATACAATAATGTCCACATACATTAGAAGTTAAACTCTGAAGCGAAATCTTGTTCCAGAAAATATGACGATATTTCTTGACAAAGGATGTGATATCTTTTCCATATACTTCAGGCGGGAGTCCATAAGAGTCAAAAAATTCCAGAGTCTGTTTGTCTGCAATGTAGACAGCTAGCCAATGAGTTCCTTTTTCATCATGTTTATCAATATTGATCACCAGTGCACAGGGAAAATTTTGAATCGCAGGTATTTTATCACAAGGAAAAACACCCGCATAATATCTCAAAGAAATAGGATCTCGAGATAAGATTTGATGAATCTGTGATGAATTCATCAGTTTCCAAAGTCGTATAGAATATTTCGAGCTTTATTGATTTCTACCAAATTTTCAAATTCAGCGTAAACTAACAATGAAACAGTTTGTTGTAAGGGAGTCCCAAATTTTATTTCTAATCTTAAGTTGCTGTGTCGAACCAGATTTAAATGAGAGCCATCACAAAGGTCAGGTGACAGGTCGAAGCGAAATAAGGAATATCCTTTTGAAAATTCTGATCTTGAAAGGTAAAGTCCTCTGTCGTCTGCATTCATAAATAAATTCTGATAAGCTCGTATGAAATGATTTTTGTCAAAATTAGGCTGAAGAGGATTATGAGGTACCGGTTGACCCGTCCACATAAACGCCGATAAAGTTCATATTATAATGCTTGAATTCAAAAGGAGACTTTTTATAGTTTCCGTTAAAGGCATCATTATCGACACATGCCACCACAATACGATTAGGCATTTGACCTATGAAAATATTGTCTTGAATAAAACTCATATTTCCCGTTGGAATGGAATAGGCTTTGCAGAGCACTCTATTAATGGGATATTTGGCTGTTGATTTTTCTAGGCTTTTGGCATGTCCTAGCACAACACCTGGACTGAGTCTCACTTTGCGTACAAACAATGAAGCTTGTTCGAGTAAAACTTTAAATTCACCTTCGCCCAATAAACACAATTCAGGTTTGCTGCGTATGAGTTTAATTTTCATATCCACCATTATCAGCAAGAGTCTTTTCTGATGAAACATATCCAAGTGCAATCGGCCAATCATATCGATCGAAGCACTCAGTTTAAACAATTCTGCTCGTTGGTTGAATCCTTTATTCGGCTGAGTGTCTTGAATATCAAAAACGTTTCATACGTCCTGCTGTATCTTTGAAAAAAACAATTCTGATGACAGTTGAGACGTTTTCGTATCAAAACCATGATTCAATAATTTTTCTATCATGGCTCTGTAAGGATACGTGTTATTACTGGTGGAAAACGAGTCTTTCATTTAAGCTAATATCCACTTGAGAAAACATAGAATGTAAAAAGAGATTGACAGGTCCCACTTTACTTTCAGCCGTGATTGGCTTGCCATCATTTTTAAAATTTTCACTTTGACGTAGAGTTGTGTCTGTGATAAGTCTAGGTAGTCGTCTCCGCTTCCAGAAACATTGAACTCGACAGGACTTCCTTCCGATACATTGGCTAATGGATGAAATTCAACCCACTGACCTTTTTCGATAACTGTTTGTGTGGGAGGTAACGAAAATAAATCCAATTCGGATTTTGCGCATTCTGGAGAAATCTTTAACAGAAAAGCCATTACGAGTCAAAAATATCACGTCGTTGCACCTTCCTGGCTTTAGACGAAATGAAGTGTTGGGGGTTTTGCGCTTCCTTTTAAACCTTCCGTGACCAATCATCTCATCTGCTTTCTGAACTGCTTTCCTCGCTAATTTTTTGCCAGCTTCTTTAGATCTGGTTTTGAGGGAGACTTTAAAATTTTCTCCCGACAATACGTCGTTTGCAATTTGTGTTCCAGTCCGCAAGCTTCTTTTCCACTTGTTTTGGCTCCACTCATCAAAAAACGGCATAGCACTGCGAAACAGCTTTGCAAAAAATCCACCAATACCATAACCTTTCTGTAAAATGGTTCCTTGATAGTAAGGTAATCCATTTCCAGTTTGAGCTAAATAATAATCTTCAAATTTTTTCGTGCAAACACGTATAAGGCACCGCATGTTTGATGCTTCTAATCTTGCATACACAATCCAAATGAAATCAATTTGCAACGAAGGCTTCTTTTATAGAATTTGTCTCAGACGAAAATGCAATACAAGAAATACTTTGCCTCTTTCGAATGGTACTAAATCTCCAGAGTGAAGTCTTATGTCAATAGTATAGTCTGAAAATGTTGACGGATAACTGGCAAGTAAAATGGGCCGGGGTAATGAGCATTTATGATGTCTCCGTCATTTCCTTCTACGGGGACAATTTTTAACAACGGGGCTTGTACATTTCCTACAATTTGAGGCTCTACGAGATCGTAATACGCATACATGACAGGAAAAGATACTTCGGGATTGGCTACAAAAGGACTTTGCTCCAATCCTTTGTAAACACCCGGCTCGAACCCTAGAAGCTCAGCTAATCCTTCGTGAAGAAAGACTTTGCAGTTTTCGTCGGTCTTAATGGTAACTTTTTTCGTGACAGGATGATAACTGAATTCAATCTTATTTTTATGGGAAGGTATTTTCATGGCTTTTAATAAATCTGGTATCCTTTCATAACTGAACATAATACAACGAGGGGTGCCTCCAGGATTTCATAACATCCTGGAGGCACCCTTCGTCCTTCCAATTTTCCATCACCCAAATCAAATCCAAATAAATTATTGTCTTTTCGGACGTTATACCATGTGTGAGGGTAAATAAAGTCCACAAGAGGCAACTCCCACTGACTATTTAAATTCATCGGAATAGGAAGCTGAGTGGTAAATTGTGATATTTTGTTGTCTGGAAAAAACGCATGGAGCTGTCCCTGATCAGTTGTGATAAAGAAAGACATGTTTCGTTCAAATGACAGAATAAGCAGAATGTACAGGTCCTTTTATATTTTCACATCATCTACCCAAGCATTGAAGCTTCGGGGTACCCCTGAACTTTCACAAAATATTCTATTTTCCCGCGACGTTTCCTCTTTTTTAAAACGTTTTCAACGGGATAATAACCAGAGTCCGAAACCTTTTGAAGTTCTTGTTTGTAAAAAGTTCCTTGTATAACTTCTCCTGCTAGATCTTTGAGTTTGTAGGCAACTGGAATCCGTCGAATAATTTTATAGATTGTAAAAATTTCTTTTGTCCAGTTTTGTTCGTATCCTTTTTCAAAGACCATTTTTCTCGACTGATGCGTACCGTATCTCCAATCTTTAAATATGAAGAAACAGGCACTTGTGCTGGTTGCTGTCCGTACAATGTTTTCCAAATTCTTTCTTGATTTTGTAATGTAACCGATACAGGTTCTGTCTTAATACTACGATGCCATGTATGGTTATAACTGGATATCAATTTATCAATCACATCAATATACCTTCGTGTATTCATTTCGGTAAAGTATTTCCACATTTTCGTTTTCAGAGTTCGATTAAATCGTTCTACGACAGAAGCTTTGGTTGCATTTTGTGTCGGAAAAAGTGAACATTCTTTTTTCAAAAAATTTTGAACGTGTTTATTGGTAAACTCTTTCCTTCTGTTGTTGTGGATTCGGCTGTACGTTCGAAAAATATTTCGAAAGCAGATTGGATAGACGTAGATGTTTTATCTTTGAGAGGGATAGCCCAAGCGTATTTGGAAAGGATATCTATACAGGTCAGCAAATATTTATATCCGTCATTAAAAGAGGCCAGGGATTGCATATATACTAAATCAGATTGAAATTGCTCGTTTAAGCCTCCTACGATGACTCTGTTCCTGGGAAACGTTGTGCCAAAAGGCTTGTTAAAGTATAAGAATCCTTGGTTTGCAACCATTTCTGGATGTCTTGTTTTTACGCGACCTTTTAAAGCACGATGAGCAAAGCAGCAACACCCGAAACTTGCGGGGACTGTGGATCCCGATAGGTCTGAGCCAGAGCTGCGTTCATTGCAACAGTTGTTATGATCTAAGCGTACACTGATATTCATTTATATATGTTTAACTAGAACAGGGAAAAAAATACCTAGTTTCACGTATATTAAGATTCTAGGAAATAGGTCTAAAAACAAGAGAGAGAAAATGAATGTTACTTAACATCTCAAAGGCTGAATAATGAATGATATGTTTAAGAATAACAACACTATTTATACTCTATAAAAGTCAACAGGTTATTTTTGAAAATAATTATATGTAGTAATCATTACAGATTAATTCTTTTAAATATGTCTGAACCTGGAGAGGTCATTGTAAAATAAAATAACATTTTTATTGAGTACATCATATTAATTTACAGAATTCATTCATAGTTCAATACCTAAGACACCATTCGTAGTACAAAATGTGTTTTTTACTTCGTCGAGTACATGGTTTAAAACACACAGATTTTAAAAAGTCCTTGGTAATGTATTGTGAGCAGGTTTCAGTAACATTAAATAGGAGGTTCTTCACCCCAAATATTTCCATAAAATTGCCTGGCGATGTCAACAGCATTGAATCTCAGAGCAATGGCATTCACAGTTTCTGTTTTGAACGAGTTCTTCACAGTCTTTCAGCTGGGGATATTTCAGTTCGTTCTTGTTGGTTAAGAAGTTCTTCAAGTGACGTCTTTAGAATGGTTTGAAGTCGCGCTCTTCCATAGAAATGTCGAAGGATTGGGGGGTAGATTTTCCTCTGACAGGTTCGTCGGATACGCTTTCGTAGGCTTCACAAAAGTTCATGTTTTGATAAACGAGTTGGTGACAATATCGCTGATATACGGCTAAAGTTGGACATCAGTTCTTCCCACTGCGTCGTTGTAATGCTGAGGCTACTTTTTTCATCTCCTTGAGCAGAAAGTTGTTTCAGAGTGAAGTGAGGAATCTTTATACGTGACCACAAAGTTCTTGGGCAACTCCAGATTCAGTGTCAGCAGGTCTTGGTTCCTCCACTGTCATGTTGGTTGCGAGAACATTCAAACACCATGGCTCAAAATTCACCTGTCGTCTTGTCGGATAGTAAGCTTTACCATATTTGGCATACTCTCGGATGTGCACAGTCACTTTTCCCTTGTAAATGCTGGGTCCCACAAAGACATTGTTTCCCATGTGAGTGAGCTCCTCTGGAATAGCCTTTCGGTGAAGAGTCCTTGCGCTGCGCTGAAAAAAAAAAAAAATATATAATACATAAAAAATGGGGTCACATACAATATCAACTTTGACATATAAACTACTTTTCGCAATACGTACTTTTTTTCTCGAAAAGGTATGTTTCTTCTGCTTTTCTTTTGGTACAAGGGATATTCCTAGGAACATCTTGGGTGCGGTCTTCATGGCTCAACATTTTATTGTTCAAAGGCACAGGTTCTTTCTCAAATAGGTTGTTTTCCATCTGAAAAAAGTAAAGACAAATTAAGCACATGTTGCAAATTTAACTATTTTTAAAGATTAAAAATCTAAAAAACACTATATTTCAAAAAGTTACTAACCTCTTTGTTGTTTTGCAGTTGATCCATTCGAAGCGGTGAAGAATGATTGTCGAAGCGAAAGCAGGTACGTACACTCAGGGCAACAGCAGGAAAGAAATGT